GGCTGCGGGCGCGGTGGTGGCTGAGGTCCTCCCTTGGAACCGGTGGGACGCGTGGGGGCGTGCCCGGGGGGCCTTCCTGGAGGAGGCGGCGCGGGGAAAGCGCTGCCCGGTGCCCTCCGCGCCTCCTACCCATCTCCTGGCCCCTCCCCCGGCCCCCAAGCTCCCCAAGCGTGGGAGTTGGGGGGCTTTTTCCGTCCCATCCTCTGGGCCTGGTGTGGGACAGGGACGCATCAGGCGCCGAGATTTGGGAACAGGAATGGTGCTCCTGGCGGCCTTTGAACCCCCTCCGGTAGTTTCCCGTGATCTTCTCCCCGCGAGGGTCCCGTGCCCAGCTGTCTGGGGGGCAGGGGACAGCTGTGAATGTCCCCCCGCCCCCAGCCCTGCTTCAGGCTCGCCCAGCACCGGCTGGACGCTCTGGAGATGGATGGTGATTGAATGGAAGGAGTGGGGGCGGGGGACGGAACCAGCTGGTGGGCAGACGCGGGGAGGGGACAGGCGCCAGGCGCTGGGGGATCCATTTCCGTGGCCACTGGTGATTGTAAGAGGTTGGCCAGGGAGGGGGATGTCAGACTCTCTGGGGCTGAAGAGCCTTTCACCCATTCGGGTCTTTGCCTCCAATAGTGGGTTCAGAATCTGCTGGGGTGGGGGGTGTTTCTCTCGCAGCGGGGCAGGGGTGGGGTGGGGGGCGAGTAGGGACCTCCCCTGATCACCCCCAGTTGAAAGAGTCAGCCCTGCCCTGACGGAGACACAAGAGAAGATCCCACCCTTGGGGGCAGATACAGTGGGGGAGGCAGAGGAGAAGCACGATAAAGTAGATTATATATGAGTGGTAAGTGGTATCAGGACATACAAGGCAGAGAATGGAGATGGGGAATGTGAGGACTATTTTAGATCCGGGAGGCCGCTCAGGAAGGCCTGGAGGAGAAGGTGGCATTTAAACAAAGATCTGATGGAGGTGAGGGAGGGGTCCATGCCCAGACATGGGGGAAGAGCAGTCCAAACACAGGAAAGGGCAAGTGCAAAGGCCCAGGGGCAGGAGCAGATGTTCACAGAGCATCTGAGGAAGCCAGTCAGGCTGGAGCAGAGTGAGGAGGGGGGCAGTGGGAGCAGGCTGTACAGGGCTTGTGGGTTGTGGGAAGGAGTTTAACTTTTACCCTGAGTGAGGTGGGGGTGATGAAGAGTTCGGAACAGAGGAGGGACACTGGGACCTGGTGTCTGGGGCATAGTGGTTGGGCAATTTTTATGTTCTGTTATCTCTGTGTCTCTGAATCGTTCCTCTCTCTTGGACCTTTGGTGTTTCTGAGCTTGGGGAGGTTATTGCTGTCTGTTTTTTTGCCTCTCAGTCCCTATGTCCTTGGGTCCTGGCGTCCACTCAAGTGAGAAAGAGAGGCCCTGGGTTTCGCCCCGGGGAATGGATGCTCTATAGAGTTCAGGGTAAGAAAAGCAGAGAAAGATCCTGGGGCCCCAGTGAACCACAAGCAAATGGCTCAAGTCTTCCAGCCACCCTCTGACAAGGTCTCCTCAGCAGACTAGTGGGCACCCAGGTATCTACATGCTCAGACCTAGGCCTATATTCATCTGCTTGTTCATTCAACTATTCATTCCACAAATGCCATATTAATCTGAATATTAGACAGTCCCCCAGCTTCCTAATGAACAGGTCCATTTAAAACAAAGGTTTGGGGCCTCCCTGGTGGCGCAGTGGTTGAGAGTCCGCCTGCCGATGCAGGGGACACGGGTTTGTGCCCCAGTCTGGGAAGATCCCACATGCCACGGAGCGGCTGGGCCCGTGAGCCATGGCCGCTGAGCCTGCGCATCTGGAGCCTGTGCTCTGCAACGGGAGAGGCCACAACAGTGAGAGGCCCGCATACCGCAAAAAAAATAAAAATAAAAATAAAACAAAGGTTTGGGGGGACAACTTAAAAATACAAACTCGGGAATTCCCTGGTGGTCCAGTGGTTAGGACTCGGCGCTTTCACTGCAGGGGCCCGGGTTCGATCCCTGGTCAGGGAACTGAGATCCTGCAAGCCGCGAGGCATGGCCAAAAGGAACAACAACAAACAAACTCTTATGAATGTACACAACATGCACAAATAGTATTGTATGCAACATAATGTTCTTTTTTTTTTTTGACTTGTACTCCTTAAAATAAAGTCCAATCTGGAATGGTGATAACGACCAGCACTTTTTTTTTTTTTTGGCTGTGTGGCTTGGCTTGGCTTGCGGGATCTTAGTTCCGCGACCAGGGATCAAACCCATGACCCCTGCAGTGGAAGCCTGGAGTCCTAACCACTGGACCGCCACGGAATTCCCATGACCAGCACTTCTAACCTGCTTATCGCATGCTGGTCCCCATCTGAGATGTCACTAATTGTCACCAGAGCCCGTTGACATTGGTATAACTATTGAAACCAAAACCCAAAGTGGTTAGGTCACTCTCAAGGGTCTCAGGGGGAAGTGAGCCCAAGAGTGTGTGGCTCCAGAGTTGAGAACAGTCTTGGAAACCGTGCCTCTTCCTGCCCTCTCCTCTCCGCAAGGATGTCCATTCGTTCTTCCCAGGCTTCTGAGAGCAGTGTCATTGTTTTGCCCCTCAGTTGTCTGATGTGGGGCAGTTTCCGTTTCTCATTTAAAGAAATGCTTTGTTGGAGGGGTGGGAGCACAACAAGACATACATTGACGAAATTCCAAAAGTACCTGTGGGATTTCAAGGAAATATCTTCCTCCCACTCCTGTCCCCAAATATATTTGCAGACGTGAGCTGATGCATAGGTGATTATTTTTTACCTTTAAAAAAATTGTAACAGATGACATGTATACAGAAAAATGCTAAGTTTAAGGAGTAATCATGAAACAAGTGCCAGGGGAAAAGTCACTTGGATCAAGATGGGCTGTCTTGGGAATTCCCTGGCTGTCCAGTGGTTAGGACTCCGTGCTTCCACTGCATGCGGCACAGGTTCAATCCCTGGTCGGGGAACTAAGAGCCTGCATGCTGTGTGATGCCGCAAAAAAAAAAAAAAAAAAAAGACGGGGGCCGTCTCTACCTTCCCAAGCCTCCCACTCCAGCAGGCCCCCCTCAAGGTGATCTGCACTTGATTCTGCCCCTCAGGGAACGGCCATGCTGGTGGCAGCTACTATTTCTTCCTCACTTACATTATGGTTTCTCCATCCAAGTTGGCTTCCTATCTGCAGTGGGTTGGCTTTGTCTGTTTAGAACATCTGATAAACGGAACCACACGGGATGTCAAGTCCTATATGTCAGCGTAATGTCGGCAGCATCAGTGCTGCCGCCTGTGGTCCGGCTCATCCTTTTTCATTGCTGTGTACTATTCCCCCTGCTTCTTGTGCGTTCTCCATCTTTGGTCAAGGAACTTGTGAATTGTTTCCCTTTGAGGCTGTCATGATCAGAGCTGCCATGAACATTCTCGGCCATGTATTTCCTCCTGAGTATCTACGCCTCAGAGTGGAATTACTGGATTGGCATATTTTCAACTCTGCCTGTAAATTTACAGATGGTTTTCCAGAGGGGTTCCCCCAGCAGCAGATGAGGGTTCCCATTGCTCCGCATCCTTGCTGGCACTCATATTATTTGCCTTTAAATTTTTCTGTCAGTCCAGGAGGGGTAGGGTGTGGTATGAGGAGGAATCTCTTTATGGTTTTATATTTACTCATTTTCTTCCCTCACTCTTTACAGAAGTGGGAACACAGCATCAAGGCTTAAGCCATTCTTGCTTCTGGTTTTGTCATCCTCCTCTCCTGTGAGGGTAGTCCTCTGTTAATCTGGCCAGCCCTGGGGGGAGGTACACAGTCTCACATGAATTCCCAGTGATGCCACTGCTTCCTGTTTCCCCTCTGAGCATCTCTTTAGTATCACATAGGGTTGTGGAGTTTTCACCTTAGAAGGATTTATCTCACCAATAGCTAAAACCCACCACCTGATCTTTGCAGTTTCCCTCACTGAATGCTGAGATGCCTTCCTGAGAAAACCCACTAAATTCAGCTCAGCATTTTGCCTCCCTTTTTGAAATGTGGTCCATGGGAACATCTGAAGCAGATCTGATGTGGGAGTGAGAAAGAGAGAGGGGTTGACGATGACTCCCAGGTGTGGGTCCCAAGGATCCAAGAGAGTAGGGCTGCCCTTAGTGAGACAGAGAGGATGGTGGGAGGGCAGTTTAGGGTCATGGGGCAGATTTGAGGATCTGTTGGTGTTTAGATGGTGTTGAAGCCTCGAGACTGGATGGGACTGCTCTTCGGAGTGGGGAGCGGGTGAGTGTGGACAGGGAAGGGGCAGGTTCTGGAGCCCCTCTTCTTGGCCCTGCTCCCCATCATGAAATGCCTAGCGCTAAAGGACTTCGGCCCCCAGCCGACCAGGGTTCAGTTCTGGGCACCGCTGCATTCTGCTGTGTGACCCTGGGAGCCGCACGACCCCTCTCTGAGCCTCACTCACCTTTGGTATACAAAGCAGGGTCAGAAATTCCAGTTTCCCAGGATGCTCTGTGAGGCAACGTGGTGACAGCTAGCTTTAATTGAGCACTTACTGTGTGCCAGGCCCTACACTCAGAACAGCTCAATAAGTCGTGGGTACTGTCCCGAGCCCAGAGGTCCAGAGAAAAGATGTCATTCACCCCTGCTCGCCCAGCTCCAAGTGCAGAGCTCTGTGACTCAGTAAACTGGCTCCCGTGGCCACACTGTTGTGGACCCAGCCTTCTCCCACTCTGGGGGCCTCACTCTAAGGCCCGTGGCAAAATGGAGCTGGAGGCTCAGCCCTCCCCACCCCTCTCCCTGCTCTGGGGCAGCAGCTGCAGAACAGCTGGGACCAGGGCACAGACAGGTTCCCTGATACGGCACCTTTTGTAAATCACCCCCAATCCTCCTCTGTGTGCCCATTCTTCCAGAGGAAGTGGCCTGGACTTGGGGAATTTGAGGACAAATCCCTAATTTTTCCTCCCCCCATGCATCGCCTGGCTTTGCAGGATCTTAGTTCCCCAACCAGGGACTGAAGCTGTGCCCTCAGCAGTGAAAGCATGGAGTCCTAACCACTGGACCGCCAGGGAATTCCACAAATCCCTAATTTTTAACATTCTTTGAATTTCCTACAAGCTTCTCTTCCCTGCCCCACTTCCCCACACCTCCCGTCCAATAGAAGCAAGATTCTGAGACAGTTGACAGAGAAAAGAAATAGAATCCAGGGACAGAGAAGGCCTCAAATTGGAGGCCCCACATTGGATCAGGGTCATGGCCAAGTTTTGTGTGACCCACACAGATTTGAGTTCGGAGGCTCACAGGAAGGGCTGAAGCTCCTAATTATCCCCACTCCACACCTGTCTTTCCTGGGCCCACCTCACACATCCATTGCATTGGACGCTTGTGGGCCACATTTGCAATCCTCAACATAGCGCTTTATGGGGCACAACTTTTTATTTTTATTTTATTCTTTTAAAATATTTATTTATTTATTTATTTGGCTGCTCTGGATCTTAGTTGCGGCATGTGGGGTCTTTAGTTGCGGCATGTGGGATCTAGTTCCCTGACCAGGGATCGAACCCGGGCCCCCGGCATTGGGAGCACGGAGTCTTAGCCACTGCACCACCAGGGAAGTCCCAGGGGCACAACGTTTTATTAAGAAAATTTCCAAGCATAAGAGAAAAGAGGGAAGCAGGAGCGATTGAGGCCTGAACCCCTCAGCCGTTGCCTTGTCTTCCTGATTTTGAGAGAAACTGAGGCCCAGAAAGGTTGTTCCACCTGTCCAAAGCCACACAGCTAAAAGATAAGGGGCTTCCCCCAACTGACAGATTTACCAAGTTGGACCAAGAGGGAGATTGGAAGGGATTCAATCATTCCATCAAAAAAACACTTATTGATGGGAATTCCCTGGCAGTCCAGTGGTTAGGTCTTGGTGCTTTCACTGCCGTAGGCTGGAGTGTGATCCTGGTCGAGGAACTAAAATTCCACAAGCCATGTGGTGCAGCCAAAAAAAAAAAAAAAAAAAAAAATTATTGAGTGTGTGGGATCCAGTGCTGGGGCCTCCACAGGGACAACACAGCCCTAGGCCTGTTTTCACAGAGACCCCAGGAAGCAGGGATTTCCAGGCCCAGAGAACAGAGCCCAGCCTCAGAGCCTTTGCACTCGCTGTTCCCTCTGCCTGGCACACTCTTCCCCCAGATAACTGCATGGCTCCCTCTCCTTCCAAGCTCAGCTGAGGGAATTGAGAGCTTGGGGAATCCCTGCCCCTATAGGGTTTGTTCGAAATTCCCTTGCTGGCCCCCTCCGCTGTGGGTCTTGCCCCTTCGCCCTCATCCTCTGGGACTCTGAAGGTCAGCGTAGATGCAGGCGGCCCATGAAGGCCACGTCACTGACCTTGGTGGCTGGGTTATGCTCTCTGAGAGTCATGCTGGCCTCTTACACACAGTCAGCCTCAGTCTCAGACTCCCTGAGCAGGTGGGTGTGTGGCATATGCCCACTGAATGCCAGGCCCCCTGCTCAGCTCCACTGGTCTGTGAGAGCAGGGCAGCTACAGATGGATAAACTGAGGCTCAGAGGCAGAAGTGACTTGTCCGGCAAGGGTGGAGCGGTTCTCATGTTCCTGATGAGGGGCCGGGGTCAGGAAGGCAGAGGTCCTCCAGATGAGGAAATAGAGGCCTCTCTCCAGACCTGGAAGCCAGGCCTGGTGGGTCAGCACTCAGAGCCCGGGGGCCGGGGAAAGAAGGGTGCGCAGGAATCGGTGGCCCTCAGGCCCCGCCCAGCAGCAGCCCTCTATCTGTGCTGGCAGGAGGAAAGGGGACGATGTATCTGCCACAGCCTGGGGGCCCACACGCTGAGATCTGTGGCTCCTGAAACCTGGGTTCTCTTGGCCCGTGGCCTGATTTTTTTTCTTTCCATAGCCTGGATTTTCCTCTCATGGAATGAATTTGTCGGCTCTGAAGCCCCGGTTCCCAGGGCCCCGATGCCCAAGTTCTCCTGCCCCCAACTACCCCCTTCCTGTCCCCACAGGACGGTGGCTGCCGAGGTGCGGAAGCAGGTGTCCCGGGAACGCAGTGGCTCCCCCCACTCCAGCAGGCGCTGCAGCAGCTCCCTGGGGGTGAGTGTTTGGGAGTCCCCCCCACCCCACTGCTGTGGGGAGCCTGAGGCTGGGAGGGACCCAGCTGTGGCAGGGAAGGGGGTCCCTGTCCTGGCCCAGCACTGTCCCCATTCCTGTCCCCAGTGAGCGTGAGTAGAAGGGTGGTGGACCCCCCCCCTCTGCAGGGAGCAGCCCTGTGGGTGGTGGGGGGAGAAGTTCAGCCTGCTGTGGCCCGCACCTCCTGCTGCCTGGACCACCCAGCTGGGGAGGGTGGGGAGGGTGGTCTGGGGGATGGGAGGTGCTTCTGGCTGCTGTGGGGAGGGGTGGGGCTCTCTCGCCCCAGGGCCTGAGGAGTTGTCTCTTTCTTTGCTGCAGTCCTCAAACCTTTCCTTCCACCATGAGTTTCCTGTCCCTCCAGGCACAGGGTGTGATTTCCTGCCTGGAAAGAGGGTCAGGGCCGGCCAAGCTGGGGTGGGGGTGGAGTGACTGAGGTCACTGTCCTCCAGGGCCCCTCCAGCTCCAACACCCTCCATGGCTCCCACAGCCCTCTTGTTTGTTCAAGGCCAGCCCAAGTCCACACTCACCCTCTGAGCCCCCCGGGGCATGAGTCACAGCCACTTTGCTCCAACTCAGGTCCCGCTGACTGAAGTCATTGAGCCCCTGGACTTTGAGGATGTGCTCCTGAGCCGGCCGCCAGATGCAGAGCCTGGGCCACTCCGGGACCTGGTCGAGTTTCCAGCTGATGACCTGGAGCTGCTGCTGCAGCCCCGGGAATGCCGCACCACGGAGCCTGGGATCCCCGAGGATGGGTGGGTTCAGCCCCACACCCTCACTGTCTGTAACTCCACCTACCTCTGTGCCCTCCGTGAATACCCCCTTTCAACTCTTGGCTCCACTGTGTGACCTTGGGCAAGTCCCCTGCCCTCTCTGAGCCTCTACCTCTGCATCTCTGAAACAGACAGAAGGACAGGCCCCACCTCACAGGCCACTGGAAAGATTAACACTGGGCCCTGCCTCTGTTTATTACCCTGATTGTATTTTGTGCAGAAAGCTGGATGCCCAGGTGAGGGCTGCCGTGGAGATGTACACGGAGGACTGGATCATCGCCCACAGGAGGTGGGTCTGGCTCGGGGGCAGCTCAGGGTAGAGAGGCCAGGTCTGAGCCCAGAAGAGCCCATTGTCTGCTGCCGGTCCTCCTGTTTATCCACCCACCGTCCCTTTAAGGGTAGCCAGACTGCTCTGGCGGTGCGCAGGGAGGGTGGATGGCCTTGCAGGCATCACCTGGACCTTGGAGGTGTGTCAGCACATCCGGGAGCCCTGAGGAGCCCTCATTCCTGATACCCACCAAGCCCCGCCTCCTCCTAGGTACCAGCACCTGAGTGCAGCGTACAGCCCCATCACCCTAGAGACGCAGCGAGAGAGGCAGAAGGGCCTCAGCCGCCAGGTCTTCGAGCAGGACGCTTCTGGGGATGAGAGGTCCAGTCCGGACGACTCGGTGAGGGAGCCCTGGGCAGGGGTCACTATAAGCATATGTACATGCATGGGCTGCGGCCCCAGCTCTCAAATGCATATGATGGGAAATGACCCAAACAGCCTTGAACCCAAAAGGAAATGTATCAGCCCTGTAAGTGAAAAGTTATGGGTAACAATTATAAGCATTTATTAAGGGCTTAGTGTGTACTAAATGTTTTATACTTGTCCTTATCTTTCATCCTGTGAGACCGGGCAACACCCATTTTACAGATAAAGACACCGAGGGGAGCTCCCTGGTGGTCTAGTGGTTAGGATTCGGAGCTTTCACTGCTATGGCCTGGATTCAATCCCTGGTTGAGTCTTGAGCCTGTATTTTGTCAACCAATATTTATTGAGTGTCTACTTTTACCAATAATAATCATGTCAAGAATTATTGTTATTGTTTCCTTGTTACTATTTATAAATGTAGATGGGGAAACTGAGGCCCTTAGATTTGGGATCAGAGACTCAGGGTCACAGAGCTGAGCTGGGATTTGAACCAAGGTAGTCTGCTTCTGACCATAGCTGAGTCTGGGAGGTCAGGCAGGGTCCTGGGCCATTGACAGCCCCAGTGAGAACTCTCCCTCCCCTGGCAACAGTGAGCAGAGTCCCAGGGAAGGCTCTCATTGGCCCAACCCAGGCAGATCCTGACCTTGGAGCCAATCCCTGGGGTTGGCACCTGTTTTGTTCTGATTGGCCAGACAAGGGTCATGTGATACCCAGACTGGGAAGTAACCTCCCCACAATAGTAAAGGAGGGGGCTTCCCCAGACAGAAGGTCCTAGAAAGAGAGTCAGCAGAGCCCTCAGGTGACCCTTGTAGTGGTGACCCCAGCCCCTGGCCCTCAGCTTCCCCACCTATAGGTTGGGCATGAGGACAGTCTCACCTGAGTAGGATGGAGATGCATTCAGCTGGCACTCAGCGCTTGCCCATTCTCTACTGCTGGCAGGATGACCCCCGGCGCTCCTCAGGCTCCCCAGACGACACCCCACGAAGCAGTGGCGCCTCTGGCATCTTCGACCTGAGGAACTTGGCAGCTGACTCATTGCTGCCCTCACTGCTGGAGCGCGCGGCCCCGGAGGACGTGGACCGGCGCAATGAGGCCCTGCGGCGGCAGCACCGGTCCCGTGCCCTGCTCACCCTCTACCCGGCGCCCGATGAGGTGGGTGCCCACTAGCCTGCACAGACCCTGAGGTCAATACACATCCAACTGACATGTATCACAGTATATGATCCCAGCAAGATTTCCTGGGTGCCTACTGTATACCCTGCAATGTATACTTTAATTCAGTGGCTTCTATTGGGTGCCTACTATATGCCCCTATATTTTTCCACCCAGCATTTATTGGGCACCTACTATATACTGCTATATTTACTCAACAAATATTTATTGTATGCCTACTGTATAGTCTTTTCGTTAATCAAACAGCATATAATCAACCAATGTTTATTGGGTACCTACTGTGTACCCTATTTTTTATTTGATGACTTATTATATATACCCCTATATTTATCCATTCAGCATTTAGTGGGTACCTACTGTGTACCCAATATTTTTATTCAATGACCTTTATTTGTTATACATACCCTTATATTTATCCACCCAGCATTTATTGGGCATTTACTGTATATTCATATTTATTCAGTCAATGTTAACTGTATGCCTACTGTATAGGCTTCTATTTAATTAAACAGCATTTGAGCAACTAATATTTATTGAGCACCTACCATGTGTACCTGTATTTATCCAACTAACTTTTATTAGGCACCTAGTATATACACCTGTGTTTTTTTTTGTTGTTTTTTTTTTTTTTTTTAACATCTTTATTGGAGTATAATTGCTTTACAATGGTGTGTTAGTTTCTGCTTTTATAACAAAGTGAATCAGCTATACATATACATATGTCCCCTTTTTTTTTTTTTAACATCTTTATTGGGGTATAATTGCTTTACAATGGTGTGTTAGTTTCTGCTTTATAACAGAGTGAGTCAGTTATACATATATATATGTTCCCATATCTCTTCCCTCTTTGTCTCCCTCCCTCCCACCCTCCCTATCCCACCCCTCCAGACAGCCACAAAGAACCGAGCCGGTTTCCCTGTGCCATGCGGCTGCTTCCCACTGGCTATCTACCTTACGTTTGTTAGTATATATATGTCCATGTCTCTCTCTCGCCCTAACACACCTCACCCTTCCCCCTCCCCATATCCTCAAGTCTGTTCTCCAGTAGGTCTCTGTCTTTATTCCTGTTTTACCCCTTACACCTGTGTTTTAATTCAGCCATTTATTGAGTGCTTGCTGTATACCCCAATGTTTTATTCAACTAGTACTTATTGGGTGTCTAGTACATGTCTCTATATATGTCCAGTCAGCATTAATCAAATACTTTCTGTATATGTCTATGTTTATTCAACCACTTTTTAGTAGGTACCTACTACATACCTCTCTGTTTATCCAACCAAGATGTTTGAGTGCCAGTTATATAGCAGGCACTGGGGATACAGCCACGAACAAGATAGAGCCAGTCTTTGCTCTCCAAGTTCACAGCCTGGTGGAGGAGAGATACCAGGAAATGACAACCCAGAATAGTGCCATGTTGAGGTGTGTGTCATTGTCCCTCATATGACCCTCAATGTCCCAGCCATGTGGCCCATTGCAGCAGGGCCTGTTGAGCATCTGGAACATCAAGTGGCTCTGAGTGAGGGAAGGCTTCCTGGAGGAAGTTCCAGCTTAGGTGCAACCTGACAATGAGCATGTATCAGCCAGGCAAGGAGGAAGGGAGAAGGGCATTCCAGGTAGCGGGAACAGCATGTGCAAAGGCTCAGAGGCAGGGGACTGAAAGAAGTTTAGTCAGGCTGCAGGTAGAGCTGGTCTCAGGCCACACATTCCAAGCCCTTCCTGGAGGATGTGTTCCCAGCTGCCCCTTCGGCTCTTGGCAGGATGAGGCCGTGGAACGCTGCAGCCGCCCGGAGCCACCCCGAGAGCACTTCGGACAGAGGATCCTGGTCAAGTGTCTGTCGCTTAAGTGAGTGTGCTGACCCATCCCTCCCCTTCAGACACGGGAGGGGACCATGTGGCTTATGGTGTGGCACACACTTAGCGCTCACTACTCGAGCTATGCCATTACCGTGTGCAGCCCTGAGACCTATGAGGATGCCCGTGGGCTCTCAGGCTGGAAAATAAGACTCCCTTTTTCATTATTCAAAACCGCCAATCCTAAGCTCCAGTTGTGTGTCAGGCTCAGTTCTCAGCCCTCCATGTGTATTAACACTGACCTTCACCACAACATGCGATGTGGGTGCAGGCGGGAAACCGAGGCACAGGGTGGAAAGGTCATTGTGCCCAAGATCACGAGTTGTGAGGCCAGAGTCTGGCCCTCGCCCAGACTGCTGCTAGGACCCAGGCTAGAGGGGGCGCTGGTGACCCTGGGCCTGGCTTCCAGCTGCCCAAGGCCCCCTCCACATCGCCCCCTGGGAGCAGCCAGCGTTCGTGGGAATGGAGCTGAACAGGATGTGGCCTTGGACCTGAGCCCGGCCCTGCCCCTCCCCAACTCTCAGTTCCTGCCTGGATGGGGGCAGGAAAGGGAGGTCCCATCTGGCCTGAGGCCCAGGTGGGCCTCCTGCCTCAAGCACATGGTCTGGGAACTGGCTCTCTGAGCTCATCCAGTCATTCAACACTCATTGAGCGTCTACTGTATGCAAGGCCGTGTAACTGTGGGATGACCACACAGGGCTCTCTAGGTTGGGGGATACAGCACAAACAGAGGCCAGGAGATGTCTGGAGAAAGGAAAATTGAGGCCAAGAAGTGGGCGGGACAGGGCCACGCAGGGCAGTGAGGAGCCTCAAATTTTAAGTTTTTTTTTTTTTTATTCTTACTACCTTCTTTTTTTAAAAAATATTTATTTATTTATTTGGCTGCATCAGGTCTTAGTTGCGGCATGTGGGATGATCTTTGCAGCATGCAGGATCTTCGTTGCAGCATGCGGGATCTTTCGTTGTGGTGCACGGGTTCTTAGTTGTGGCTCATAGGTTCTAAGTTGCGGCACGCAGGCTCTCTAATAGTGGTGCGGGCTCAGTAGTTGCGGCACGTGGGCTTAGTTGCCCCGCGGCATGTGGGATCTTAGTTCCCCGACCAGGGATCAAACCCACGTCCCCTGCATTGGAAGGTGGATTCTTAACCACTGGACCACCAGGGTAGTCCCAAATTTTAAGTTTTAAGATGTTTCCTTAGGAGGCATGTGGATGATGAGTAGAAATGGGCAGGGCAGAGTAAGACAGGGAGGCGGTTATGGGGGCTGTTTAGGCAGTCGAAGATGGGACTCAGCCCAGGATGGCAGAAGCCATAGAGGACACCTCAGGGAGGGGAGACAGGGAGGCCCAGGAGTCGAGAATTTCAGGATGGGACTGGGGGTGGATTGATGTGCCAAAAGCTGCCTCCATGCCAACCGAACAAGGGCCGGGGTTTGAGCAGGAGGGACCGTGTGTGAGTTACTTACTGAGGGAGGGAGGAAGGTGGGCGGTGGGGGGAGAATCTCTTGGTGCCTTAGTTTCCCCTTTGGCAAAATGGGACACGTCTTTCCTACAAGCCCTTAAATGGTGCTTCTCTGTGACCCAGTGGGAAACAGATGCCCCCCGCCCCCACAAGGCACCAAGGCTGGGCTGGACCTCAAGAGGGAGTGGGGTGTATGGAGGAGGGAGTGTCAAGGTCATCCTCTGCCAGAGAACCCCTGTTTACTGCAGGTTCGAGATAGAAATCGAGCCCATCTTTGGCATCTTGGCCCTGTACGACGTGCGGGAGAAGAGGAAGGTAGGAACCCCTTTCTTCCCTTTCCTCCCAGTCCCCCTCCTCGCTGCAGAGTGGTGGGCTTCCTGGAAGTGGTGGCCCAGCTGCCTCTTGTGCCCCCAGATCTCGGAGAACTTCTACTTTGACCTGAACCCAGACTCCATGAAGGGGCTCCTGCGGGCCCATGGCACCCATCCTGCCATCTCCACCCTGGCCCGCTCTGCCATCTTCTCCGTGACCTATCCCTCGCCCGACATCTTCTTGGTCATCAAGGTACCCACTGGGGCTGGCGAGGGGGTGATAATGGTGAAGGCTGCAGGCGAGGTCCCCACTCTCATGAAAGAAGACAGACATGTCACTAAGAAGGGTGATCAGGGCTGTCATGGGGAGAGGTACAGGCAGCTGGGTGAGAGCCCAGAGGAAGCTTCTGACCCAACCCAGGTGGGGAGAAATCACCAAGGGCTTCCTTGGAGCGGTTACAGCTCAGCCGACACCCATGAGTCGGCAGCCTGAGGAGAAATGGCATCCTGGCACATGTGGGTGGATGTTTAAAATTTTTTTTTTAGTTGAGAGTTTTTCCGTTTATTAGAGGAAGAAAGACCTAGTTGGCACATTCGTTTGGAATTTTCTTTTTCCAGGAGTGAGTTCAAATTTCCTTCCCCAAAACATTCAATTAGGTTACGCTAATGACATTAATTGAACACCTTAAGGCAGGCACTGCTCCCAGTCGGTTAGGCTTCACAGGGATTCTGGTCCTTGGTCCTCACAGCAGCCCCGGGAGGTGGAAGTTGACATGGGGCCCATTTTACAGTTGGGGAAACTGAGGCACAGAACTGGTAAGGAATGTGCTCAAGGTCCCATAGCCCCTGAGTGGTCAGGATTGGAGTCCAGGCTCAGAGCCATGCTTGATGTGGACTCTGTTTATACTAACAAAGAAAGATGTAAATGTGGGGGAAAAAATGGAGTCTTGGGTTTGGGGCCAGGTTTAAAAGGTGGGGAGGGTGTAGCTGGTTGCCCAGGCTGAGAGCTAGCACTCAATCCCAAGGACAGTGGGAGCCATGGTTGGTGTTGGAACCGAGAGCCCTAGCTGGATGGAACGGAATGTATGGGAGGCTGTGAGGGTCAGGGAAGTTGGGTCCCTGGGGAGGTTGCAGTCCCAGCAGTGCCTCACTGGCCTTGTCTGCCCCTCAGCTGGAGAAGGTGCTGCAGCAGGGGGACATCAGCGAGTGCTGCGAGCCCTACATGGTGATGAAGGAGGTGGACACAGCCAAGGTAGGCGTGGGAAGCTGGGCCAGGTGGTGAAGGGGTCCCCAGGCAGGGCAGATCTGGATTCAGAGGGCCTGGGACACTGAGATTGTGGAGTGTGTTTGCGGCGTCTCCCCACAGAACAGAGAGAAGCTAGAGAAGCTGCGCCTGGCGGCTGAGCAGTTCTGCACCCGTCTGGGCCGCTACCGCATGCCCTTCGCCTGGACGGCGGTGCACCTGGCCAACATTGTGAGCAGCGCGGGCCAGTCCGACCGGGACTCGGACTCGGAGGGCGGTGAGGAGGCGGGGCCGATGGGCCAGGGGCGGAGCTACCGGGGAAGGGGAGGGGCGCCCTCTGCTGGCCGGACTTGGCACCGTCCCTGCCTCTCCCTCATTTCTGTCCCTCTCCATCACTGTCGCTGTCTCCCCTAGAGCGCCGACCCACTTGGGCTGACCGCCGCCGTCGGGGGCCCCAGGACCGGACGAGTAGCGGGGACGACGCCTGCAGCTTCTCCGGCTTCCGCCCAGCCACGCTAACTGTCACCAACTTCTTTAAGCAGGTGCCGTGGCTCGGGGGGCAGGGGGCTAAGGGAGGGTTGCCCAGGGGCAGCCCCCATTACCCCCCTGTGGCTGCCTGGGCCCCGGGGACCCCAAGCCCCTCAGCCCTGGTTCACCAGGGCGGGTCCCTGCAGGAAGCTGAGCGGCTCAGTGACGAGGACCTCTTCAAGTTCCTGGCTGACATGCGGCGCCCGACATCCCTGCTGCGGCGCCTGCGGCCTGTGACCGGTGCGTGGTGCGCGCCCTAGACGAGACGTGTTACTCGTACAGTCACTCAGCAAACCCACACTGAGCACGTACTGTGCCATGCCCTGGGGCCCATGATAGGCAAAGCCCCGACTTCACGGGTGGACCTTCTAATGGGGCCCAGAGATGAGAAACAGAGTAAGACAGGACTTCCCTGTGGTGGTCCAGTGGCTAAGAATCCACGCTTCCTCTACAGGGGGCACGGGTTCGATCCCTGGTTGGGGAAGATCCCTCATGCCATGGGGTGCGGCCAAAAAAAAAAAAAAAAAGAAAAAAAAAGAAAGAAAACAAGGGGGCCAACCGGGGAAT